GTCCCTACTGGGTGACCGGGGAGATCAGACTCTCCATGCAGAGCAAGGCAGAGTGCAGCTGCTCAGAAGCCAATTTGAAAGCAAGGGCCTGCATGTAGTTGGCATTCAAGAAGCCCGAACCGAGCCTGGAATGATAGTGTCTCATACACACATTCGGTTTTGTAGCGGCAAAGCTGAGGGAGGCCTCTATGGAGTCGAACTCTGGATTTGTCGCGGTCTTCAGTTTGCCGATGGAATAGGGTTCCATCCTGGGGAATTTCTTGTGGCCTATGCTGAGCCGAGAATCATGATTGTCAAATACCAAGGTCAACTTGGTACATTCGGTTTCCTGGTTGCACATGCCCCACATACGGGAACTGCACCATCAGAACGGCGCGAATGGTGGGACAGACTCCAGACACAAGTTTCATGTACGCTTGGAGAACTTGAGTGCATCGTTTTTCTCGATGCAAATGCAACTGCCCCCACTGAAGAAACAGTGCATTTTGGGGGATACACACAAGGTCTTCCCAACAAGAATACTCCTTTTCTGGAAGCTTTTGTGCATAGAAATGGCCTGTTTGCGCCATCGACTTTCGAGGCATTACAACATGGCCCGCCAGAAACATGGACGCATAGGGCAACAGGCAAGAGATCTCGGATTGATTACGTTCTGCTCCCCTTGTCTTGGAAATGGGCGCAAATCGACGCATGGGTTGACACTGACATTCATGTAGGCCATGCCGGTTTTGACCATGATTGCACCTGCCTTGGTGTATCTTGGAAACAGCTGATTCGCAGACAGTCTCGCACTAAGCGTATTGATGACGCTGCTCTTCGAAATCCGCAGAACCAGGATTGGGTAAGGGAAATATGGGCATCCTGCCCACAACCAGATTGGAGTATGAATGCTTCACAACATGCTGCTTTGATTACAAATCATTTGCAGAAAGAGGCGCTTCGGCTCTTTCCGAAAAAGCAGGGTCGACAACATAGAGAGCATGTCTCGGAAGAGAGTAGGGAGCTTCACAGACGCATGACTAGCCTTCGAAGAGCTTTGCGCAGTCTTAAAAAACATGACAACTTCTCTTTGTGTGCTGTGACTTTTCGGCATGGAAAGCGTATAAAAAAGGGAAGGGGTTTAAAGATGCTGGACAGGAGTGGAATAAGCTAATTTCCATTGCAGCCGCACGGCAAATGCAGGAATTGAAACGTGTTTCCTCCCAATTTCGCAAACAGCTCCGATCCGACCGGAAATGCTTTCTTCTTGAAATTGCAGAGGCGGCAAAGAACTCCAAGCCAAATGAAGTTTTTGCAGCCCTCAGACCAATTTTGCAGCCGTCTAAGAAGCAGTCAACCTTTCCTAAGCCTTTGCCGGTCTTGAAGGATGAGAATGGGGACACCCTGCAAACCATGGAGGAAGTGAATGCCAGGTGGGTTCGACATTTTGCCCAACTGGAAGCGGGCAAGGAGGTGGAGGTCCCTGAATTTGTTCGACGTATGTTACAACGTCAGCAAGATTCCTGCAAGCCTGCTGAGTACCATGTGGAGGACCTGCCTAGTCGTCTTGAACTAGAGAAGGCTATTCGTAAGATGCACTATCGAAAAGCTCCAGGACCAGACCGGCTTCCCAACGAATTGTTGAAAGCTAGTCCAGGTGATGCTGCCATGGTGCTCTATCCAATCCTTCTCAAGATGACTTGTCGCCTGGAAGAGCCGCTCCAATGGAAAGGGGGACAGATTTTCTCTTTATTAAAGGGGAAAGGGCAGCACTCTGACTGCCAAAACCACCGAGGCATTTTGCTGACGTCTGTTTTGGGGAAAGCAGTCCCCTCCTCTATTCGTACGCGGTTGAATGAACCCTACTTGCTTGCCACGGATGACCTGCAGTTAGCAGCAAGTCTTATTCGGCACTCAGGTTTCCCGACTTTTCGTTGATAGGGGCAAGCGCAAGCAGAAGAGCACAGCGATACTGTTTTGCGATGTACAATCGGCATATTATCGTGTTTTGCGGCAAATTGCAACGGGTGCGCGCGTGACCGATGAAGATCTGGCTTTAGTCTTGTATCGGATGGGCCTCGGGCCAGAGTCGATGTCACTCATTCATGAATGCATGACCCAAAAATGTGCCTACCAAGAGCTTGGAGCAGGACCTGTTCAGCACCAGGTCCTTCAAGAAACTTTAGAGGGCACATATTTCACCTATACAGGTCATGAATTCATTCAGACACACCGAGGCACCAGGCCGGGAGACTCGTTAGCCGATATAGTATTCAATCTTGTGTTCTCGCAAGTTTTGTCTGAAGTCCAGAAAGAGCTTGAGGCCAGTGACTTACTTTTGAAGGTACGCACAAGAAGTGACCGAAATCCGTATCAGAATCAACCGACTGAACAAATGCTTCCAATGTTTCAAGTCACATGGGCAGATGACCTAGCAATCCTTGCAGAATTTGACAAGGCATCGCAGATTGAGAGCCGATTGGCATTGATTGCCTATGTACTGTTACAGAAGCTGCATAAATACGGCATGAAGGTATCTATTGGAGAGACCAAAACTGCTGCAGTGATCTCACCAAGAGGACCCGGCGCCGTTCACATGAGACGACGACTTTTTGCTGCGACTCAAGCGACCTTTCCGGTCCTGCTAGAGGAGAACGCGATACAGCTTCCTCTCGTACCTCGGTACCGGCACTTAGGAGGGATTGTCGATGCCAATGGGAGCATGTTACCAGAAATTCGCACTAGGTTTGCAAAGGCGCGAGCTTCATTTTGGCGGGCGGCAAAGCATGTGTTCCGGCAGAGGCGTGTTCCCATAGAGACGCGCATGATGATTTTCAGGTCAACAGTTCTTTCCATCATGACTTGGGGAGTGGGAGCCTGGGTTGAGCTCAACCATCGAGAGCACCAAGCCTTCATCACCTCAGTATGGAATTTGTATGCTATGATGATGCCCAAATCATTTGTTGCACCATCAAGGGATGACATACGAAGCTGTTTGACCGGTGAAGACCCGGAAGATCTCATAAGGATTGCCCAGTTTCGTCATCTTGGGGCCTTGTTGCGAACAGCTCCTAACATTTTGTGGTCATTAGTTGCTGAAGATGACAATGCCATGCAGATGTACCACAAAGCTCTTGCTTGGGCATATTCCTTCCTGGATCGGGACTCGCCAGTGCGAGATGCACTGGATGGAGAGGCATGGAAGGAACTGGCAGCGAAACCAGCACAGTGGGCTCGCTATGGACGAACTGCCTTATACAGGGCAACGCAAGCCAAGCTTCGTGCCGCAACTACTGCAAGAGCCCATCGAGCCGTCCTGGACATTCTTAAGTCCAAGGGCCTAACTGATTCGTATGAACGAACGCAGCAGAGCCGACACATTTGTGTCATCTGTGAGAGGGCCTTTTCAGCGGCTCAAGGATGGTTCTTGCATGCTTGCCAGAAGCATGATTATGTCAGCGAATCCAGTGAGGTTGTACAAGGGCAGACATGCCATTGCTGCGCTAAGGTGTATTTGACACAAGAACGCCTTAGGCACCATTTGAGGTATAGTACTAAGTGTCGAGCTTTTTTTCGACAACAGCGTGGGCACTTGCCTCAGACTTCGGATTCTGTCTCGCAGCATCCTCAGTTTCCCTGGTATAGGCTGAACCAAGAGAGATTTCAGGGACCAAACACTCTGAGTAGAGATGTTGCGCGTACTCAGAAGAGATTCCAAGAAGCACTCCAGACTTTCCTTTGTCCAGAAGAGGATGTTTTCTTTCACGAAGGTTTGATTCTGGCGTTGAAGGAAGCCTGCCGAATCCCAGTGCCATATGACACTATTTTTTCTGAATTTCAGATATGGGTAAAAGACTTTGAGGAAACAGATTCCAGGATCTTCTCTGCCGGCTGTGCGGTGCAAGGCTGGCTTGAGGAGCTGGGACGGCAAATGCACAAAGACGATGTGCGGCATGATGACATGCTTGTGGCAGACGAGACCAGTCGTCGAGCAATCAGTTGTCGAGTTGCCGAGGGAACGGGACATCCAGATGGAACTAGAAAGTCTACCACTCCCTCCTGGTGTGGTGATGACCGTGGTCTCTGTTGATGTCGCTATAGACCCTAGCCGCTGTGACCTATCAAAGGATCATCAGCAAAAGTTGTAGCATGATTTGATTCGCGGAGGATTTGTTGCAGGGCTTTATGGCGGGCCGCCCTGTGAATCCTGGAGCATAGCTCGCTGGGAACAACATACACACATGCTACAGCGTGGGCCTCGACCGGTTCGTTGTGATCCTGAGTTATGGGGGATAGGTAGCTTGTCCAAGCGAGAGGGGCAACAAGTTTCTATAGGAAATGTTTTGATGCTCTTTTGCTTGAAGGCTGTCCTTTTACAGGCCCTCACTGGGGGTTTTTCATGGTTGGAGCACCCCCGGAACCCTCATAAGGGTGGAACGCGACGCACCAGAGCGCCATCCATCTGGATGACACAGATCATTCGATGGTTCCATGAAACGAGGTTGTTTGTTTTCTTGGATGTGTTGCAAGGGTTCTTTGGAGCTGACAGCCCAAAGCCCACCACCCTTATGCTATCTGGGGTCGAGCTCACCGAAGTACAGCACTGTGAGGAATCCATGCGCAGTGCTGTATGTGCTCAGGGTTCAAACATCGGTTTAGAGGGAGGAAAATGGCGAACTAGTCATCTCAAAGAGTACCCGCCTGCCTTTTGCTCTTTTGGGGCCTCCCTCTTCCGATTATGGTTGAACCATCAGCCAGTCCGGACTGAAGTGTTCGAAGAAGCCACTGAGTGGCTCCGGAGTCTTGTACTGGCATTTGAAGACCAGGGACTCGCCGAACCCAGGCCGGACTACTTTGCAGGAAATTCGCGAATTCATTCAGCAAGACGCTGAGCTTGACGACGAGCACTGTGCGTCAATGGAAATGAAAAATGAAAAAAAAGCTGCATATATACTCATTACAGATTACACCAAGCAGAAAGAAAAGCGTTCTTTCGAAGCAACCGTACGCTCGGAACCGAGGCTGAAGCTGGGAGTTCACATTACGTGCCTTTTCAATGCTTCCGGCGAGAAGTTGTGCCCTGCAAGCAAGAGCTTGTGGAGTTCGAAACCGTCAGGTCTTGTCAGGCCTCCTGAATCGGGCTGGCCTATGCAACTAGTTTGGGCACACATTGGTCCACGTGTTTTGACTTCAGAAAGCATGCAGTTCATGCTGTTCTGCGCATCTTGGCCGAATGCAATGGCCGTGAGGTCAGAGTTCCTGACACTGCCGGAAGCAGGAATTGACAATGGCGATTCTCTGCAAGCTCTTGTCATGGCCTGACTGCCCAGCATAAACATGCCTTCGGTTTGCATGTGACTAATGGTGTCTAGAGCGTCAACTCGTTCAAGATTCATAAAGATTTGATCGATTGAGTTTCAGGCGTGGTCCACTGTATTCTAAACACACCCGTGACTCATGTTTCAAGTAGTGTTGCGCGCCCACACACACAAATGCAGCTCATGAAGGTGTTCCCAGGACTGAAACTAAGCCGGAGATTTTGCGGAAGATTAGGATGTGTTGCTTGACACAAGTTTGACTACGATGTGAATGGATAGAGGGCACAAGTACAAGCTTCAATGAATGATTGATGCACCTATGAGCTTCAAATCCTACGTGCCAAGCCTTCTAGGCCCCAGGCTGCGTTTCCCTTTAAAGCTTTGTGCGCGCGTACCTCAGTTTAGGTTTAGGGGTCTCCTCCTCCTTTGCGCACTAGCATTGAGTAGAGTCCTTGAGGCATTGAACAGGTCAGCGTGTCTGTGACAGAGGCGTCGTCATACGCATTCCATTGCGCCTGCCCAATTGCCAACTGGCAGAAGTGTTCACTGAGGACAGTGCTCATACTTTCCGTCTGCAGCTATCATATTCTCAAGTTAATAAGTAACAAGATAAAAGATAGACAATCATGTTCACTAATTAGGGTCTTTTCAATCTACAAGAAAAATAGACGAGCGTTATCCCAAACGAGGTGTTAACAGTCCTTAAGTTCATAGGCCTGGTCTGGATGTCCTTCTCTCGGCATTCACTATTCAAATATTGGAGATTTATGAAGAATTCTGTTTGTTTGGTTGAAGCTATCGCAGGATAGAAAGACTCAAGGACTCCAAGAAAACAGACAGTGGATAGCCAGACTAATGAACAGAAATAATACATGTTTGCCAATGATCAAGAACTGTTGCTTTTCCATATTTGTCCTTAAGCTTTAGAATCTGTGTTGATAGACAAATTATCACATGAAGAGTGCACGAAACCAGCCAATCAGTTTGGAAGAACCGCCACACAATTACAGGGGGTAACTGGGGGGTGGGGCCCTTCATACATTTGCAGGGTGCATGGACGGTTGCATGGGGAAGAATGCGACCCAGGCTGAAGGAAAGACTGTGTGTCAAAAGATCGGGGTCACAAGGTCGATCGAGCCACCCACCCATTGGTTTGCCATTTTTGGGCCTGCAGGGCTCAATTTATGCCAGTCAAATAGACAGTGGAAATTAGGGAACTTAAGCACATGACCCGGAGTCACACAGTGCAAAGGGTTTCTATACACTGTAATACACATGTTTTTTTCCCAGCCTCGAATGCCATCACCTTGTGTTTGCCTCTGCTGCATCCTTGGGCTATCTTTGGGGTATTGGTACTCTGCGGATCCTTGCTTGCTTTTGCTTTGCTTCTGCCCTATAGCTGACAGAAATTAGCTAAAACAATTGAATGGCTGACATCCACTTTAATCACTGTGTGCACCTCGCATTCTTATTCAATGTTGGCACAGCGCACTTGACAGTGGTGCAGGATTGTCCATCAGCCGGAGCTTCTTCTTTCAAGTCTGAGTTGCCCCCATTTTGTTTGCAAGGAGTGCTAGCACTAAATGCACGCCGCCTTGCACAACAGTATTTTCTTTTGGGATGCTGTGCAAATCTTTCCCCACCTGTCGGCTCCTTTACCTCCTTTCGTTTCTTTTCCTTTGACAGTGCTTGGCTTTGCAAGCCTTTTTGGGTTCGCCTGGGGTTTGGTTGGGCATTGGAGACGGCCATGTTAAAGAGATTGCAGTGTCCTTGCAGAAGCGCAGAAACAGCTTCTGCCCTTGGGAGGGAATGCACTTGACATTCTGTGTCAACGGCTGCTGCCCAGGTCGAGCCCACTGACGAGGAGATGATTCAAGAGGCGCCTGTCAAGCTGACGGGCCAACGGGAACAACGCAGATGTGCTGTCCAAGTCTTGCCAGTGATTCGTAAACCAGGAGCGAGAAAGAGCTCCACCTGATGAAGAGTTGCAGACGTGGCCTTCAGGGTTTTTAGACATTCTGCTGATGGCTTTTGGATTGAGGAAAGAGTGGGTGAAGTCAAGCTTTGAGGCCAGATCTAGACAACCAGAATTCTAGAAGTCTAGAATGAAGGTCCAAAGGTCCCGAATGAGACAAGCCAAATCCAACAGCTAGCCACACAAACAAATCCAGACAATGCTTGTATCATTCACTCCCCAAATCAGCGTGTATTCTTCAGGGCATTGGTCCACCTGTCAGGCCCCCACCCCGGCCCGGGCAGCGCGAGGCAGCGCCTCGGAGTCAAGTGTATTGGGACTGAGGAACTGGTTTGTTTCGTTTCCGTTCTTCTCATGTTTGAAGCTGCAAATTGGAGGAGCACAGGAGGAGTCGGAGCTGCCATCAGTTTCCAGAAGGATTTGGTTCTTAAAGCCTCCCGCCCGTTTGCGGCCCCATGGACACCAATGGACATGGGAATCGCCCAGGCGCCTTGAGGTTTCCCCTGGCGGAGGCTGCCGACGGTGGCCACGGCAGAGGCGGCACACTTGGCCACCCTCGAGGCACACGCCACACGCCCTGTTGCCGATGCAATGTTTCTAGGGTTCTTCCTGCAGGTCAAAGGTTTGTTGGGGTATGTGTTGTTTCTTCTGAAGGTTGTCAATTGTCTCCCCAAAGCGCGTCAAAACTGCAAGGAGTGCGAATACAGAGACAACACAGGATTCCCAGTTCGCTGACAGGACATGTTTTTCCTCAAGAAGCAGAGCGCACAAGGGCTGGAAGCGTGCAGCCCCAGAACGCTCAAGGCAAACAAGGCGAAGATTTGATCTCTTGATTTGAAACAATGAACACTAGATCCCCTTGAGTTGCACACACACTATCATCGGTAAACCAAAGGGAACCAAAGGGTAATAGAAAAGGTAACAAAAGGGAGACTCACAAGGAATAAAGGAGAATGGTGGGATTCCGCTTTAGTTTTGGATTCCTAGTGGAAAGGTGTTTACAAATCACATGCCAAAAAGGAGAAATGCAAAGTAAACTGCGCCCCAGCAACAATCTTGAAAGATCTATACTTTGTTTAGTGGCGTGCTAATAGCAGCTTTGAAAGAGAAAAGGAACAAGCGTAGGCTCTACAGCACTTCGAGTGAAACACATATTCATAAGGAATGAACTTTGTGGAGATTAGCAACGCTAGTCGGAAGGCAACTTTGAAAGAGAAACGCAACGCTGACTTTCACGTCTTGTATTCCAAGCGCAAGAATGTGGAAGTGGCATAGTGTGGTTGTGTGGAGAAAGATATGCAACCTGTTGTCCATGAGGCACATATGATTTGGAGGATCCGCAGCAGCTGGTGCAATTCATCTTGGATGCCAACGTCGGTCTGATCCGCTTGGAATACTTGATGGAGCTGTGTGCCCGTGGCCAAAAACTGAGGCGCCGGCAGGAAACTGAGACAGAGATGACCAGTGCAAACCAGCCTGCCATTGTCGCCCGCGAAGAGCTTGCTAGCTTGGAGTACGATGAGATGGGCAACATCACCACTTTCATCAGGGATCCCAAGCCAAGACGAGTGAAGGTGACCATTGCGTCCATCTCACACGTGTGGGAAAGCATGGAACATCCAGATCCATGGGGCTTTCAACTGCATAGTGTAGTCGAGCGGTGCCAGCCCATGCTTGCTGAGGGCTTGGTGTGGATCTTTTTTGATTACTCCTCGCTGTATCAGTATGGAAACCGGACCGCCGCTCAAGAACAGGCCTTTCGCACTGCGTTAGAAGAGATGCACACCCTCTATGCCCACGAAGCAGTTCAGGTGCATATTTTGGACTGCCTGACGCCAAAAGACTGGCGAACTGATGGTGTGCTTCCAGTATTTGCCGAACGCCGAGGTCGTGTGACTGAGGTCGCGACAAAAAAGTTGAAGATAAACATCACACCTTATGCCAGTCGGGGGTGGTGCCAAGCTGAGCAACAGTGGGCGAGCTTGCGATCGTCCTTGAGTGGCTGTATCCCCTTGCCCCCGCACTTGTTCAAGAAAAGAATGGACCAGCTCAAGTTTACCCATAGAAGCGATACAGATGTTGTGGCCAAATTGCAAGCAAAAGTCTTTGAAGAAAAGGTGGCTTCCACCAAGAACTTAATGGTGGAGGATCTTGATGAAGAAGGACTAGAAGTTCTATGTGAAGCACTACCATTCTACAAAGACCTAGATGCAATTGTCTTGAATGGTATTGAACTTGGACGTGATGCCGCTCTTGCTGCAGCGGGAACTGACGCAACATCGATGCAGCTGGAGAGTTGTAGCCTGACTGATGCAGACATCATTGACATCGTTCAGGTTTTGAAAGGGTGCAAACGAATCAAAGAACTCCGCGTGGCAAACAACCATTTCGGTGACGAAGGCCAGAGAGCACTGGTGGAGCTTTCCTCAGTGAACCCGGGCCTGAAGATTGACGTTTTGCAATAGTTGCAGTAGAGCTCTAATCGTTTTGGCCACAAGTGCCAAGTGCTTTGCCAAAAAAGATTGGTCCTACAGGGGAAGCGCACGCTTGTGCTGCATTGTGCTGCAGGCCAAACCCTTTGCTCTTTGCTCCAATTTCAATGGAACGTGGCACTATGACCTCATCAATTCATGTGCCAGAGTGCATGGGGTTTGGTTCCCACTGAACATTACCACCATACTTCTTTTTGCCATCTGAATGAGAGCGAGATTGTTTGGAAGTTATTGTATTATGATAAGGTATGGCCGCAAAGCATTGAGGCAGTTATAAAGTTTGGCGTGGACATGTGGAATGGTGCCAACTAGATTGTTTACTGCACGCTTCATGAAGGCAAGTTGTAATTAAACTGGTTGGCTCACCGCAGACTTAACGAGTTGAAGAAGCTTGGGTAGGAGCTTCGTCGCAAGGTCACTCAGCTACAACAAAGGTGCTTAGAAAGGATTCCAAAGCACACACCCATGTACAATCTGGCTAGGTGTTGAGGCCAACAATATTGTTTTTGCCGGCTTGGGTGGTGACAAGAACTTAACACCCTGCTTTACGTGGCCGTTTTCAGATGGAATTTCCACTGCATTTGCTGCTGATGAGAACTGCAACAGTCCACATCAATAAATTTTCCATAACCATCAAACCTTTTAACATATACTAACGTGATTTAGTAAACCACCAACTTGACCTCTGAACACCAATCAAAGTCTCAATTGGCAGTAGAAACAGTTCCAATATGTTCCAATAAACTGTATCAGATCAATAGACGATGAGCACCGGCTGAAGACACCTCTGCTTCGGCCCAGTGCGCCAGCACTGCCTCGCCAGGCCGCGCGCGCGTCTCGGCATCCGGCGTGGGCGTGCCGTACGTGCGCTCACCACAGTGTTCGTGACGAAGCATGTCCACGGTGAGGTGGGTGTTGTTTGTGTGTTGATTTGGAACTTGGAAGAGACTTCCTCCTACTTGTTCTACCAGCTGGGTGTTGTCCTTCTAACGCTTTGGGACAACCGGCTGAACGGAGCCAGGGCTTTTCCATGAAGTTTGTAGCTTCATCCTGGGAAAACCACCAGAAGTTTGAGGCGGATCCTCTACAGTCTGCGGGAGTGACTGAAGCATATGATATAGTCTGCTTTGGCAGAAGGGAACACAGAATACAGAGTACAAATTCCACTCTGAATACCAACCAAAACACAGTTGTTTTTTTTTTTATTTCCTTTTTTTCCATCTGAACCCTCTGGGGAACCTCGGCGGAGCACCTCGACCGTCCGATCGCTCCCTCCCCAGCCCCGTCCGGTCTTGGACTCAGAATCGGTCCTGCCACCTGCCAGGAACCCGTCGATGGAGGCCGAGACCGGACCCGTAAACCACGTGCTTCGACGCGATCTGGCACGGCTCCGCTCGGGTCGCGTCGCTGTTGGACCCAACCAAAACGGATGGCCGTGTGGCTCAGCCAACAACAAGCACGTGCATTTCATGTTCTTTTTGGACCCAACGCCGCCACAACAAGCAGTGCATTTTATATCATTTTATCATATTTGACTGAGCTCCTTGTCAGATTCATTGGAGGTGGTGACAATGTGACAATGAACATTCTGTTGTTGTGGAAATCAGTGCTTTGACCTCATGAAACAACGGAAGGCCATCGGTAGTAGTAGCACAGCGTCTTGAAGTGGAGCCTGCTACGCTGCTACGCTAGGCCGATGAAGCTGAAGCAAAAGCATGTTGAGCCCTCAGATCTCAGTGGTTTCTCGCATCGATTCGCTTCAAGTCATTACTTGAACAAGAGGGGTTTGAGGTTTGAGTCAAGCGAAAGTCTTTGTGGCACATTCTTTATATAGGCTCCTGTGGTACATGCCAAGCAGACCAATTTTCCTAGGTGTTTCATGAGGGGTTTGGTTTGCATGCTTGCTTTTTGGGCGGGGTGTTGATTTCGGCTTACCCAGACTTACAGTCTGATGATGGAATCCATGAGATGAGATGGGATCCTGTGTTTGCAAGTGAGCTAAAGCCCAGGCCCCAGGAAGCCTGGGCTGTGTTTCGTTATCAACAGCCTACCCCGGACCTTCTAAGTATGGCTAGGGTGTGTCCTAGTAAGCCTGTAACAGTCGGTAAAGTTTATCTATCACTATTTTTCAAGAAGGATTTTTACTAGTCACCATCATTATCTACTAGGCCCTGGGAATGGGATATACCTAAAGTATGGCATATTTCCCTACAACGGCGTGATTTGAGGGGTCAATGTAGGTGTATTTGCAGTTGTCTTCAAGTTCCATGGAGTGTTTGGAGTCTGGGCACTTGAAGGCGTTGGCAACGTGGCTTGCTTGCTTGATCCGAACGGATCTACACCCGGTGCCGATCCAGGGCCCACAGAAGGAGAATCCACTTGGGCCAAGTGTGGATCTCCCAAGAAGATCTGTCGATTGAGTCACAGGATGTTTTATTTTCTTTTTCTTTCCCAACATCTTCCAAAGACCCAGTCTCCGAGGGGAGGGAATTCCTCATACTGGGACGACACCCACAGGCTTGCTTCTGATGGCTTTGCTCGCGCTCGGAGGGCTTCTTCCCGGTATTCACTGGAAGGTGAATCTGGGAGTGCAGCTTGGTTGAAATGTAACTCGTAGATGCTTCAGCCTGTTAGGGCAAGCTTTCTTGGGATTAGGCAGGGCTTAGAGAAGCTACCAACTGACGAGAACATCGGCTCATAGTGACTGCGCACACAGAGGGACACAATGGATTCCTGGTAAGGAAAACATTTTATTGGAACATGTTCTATTTGGAGGGGCCTCAAACCCTTCAATATAAGTATAAAATCATTTGCAAGCTTGTCACCATGTAACGCTGTTCAGGGAAGGGGGAGGTTAACGCATGCAAGTCGTCGTTGTGAAGACCCGTCAGAACAGATCCCCCCAACATCAGAGGGTCCACCTCCTACGTCCGAGGTGTCTCGGACGTTGGCTCCGAACGGGGCAAACGGGTCACCGGTGGTTCGTGGTCACCAACGGGTCACCCCAGTCGTGCTGGCGCAGACGTGGCTTCTGACGTGGGCCTTGTTTCAGCAATTTTCTCCGAATCAAGGATTTTCATCGGTCGATTCGCGCTGGGAAGCTTCTTCGTCTTGGTGAATCGACTGAGGATGTCCCTGTTTTTTTACTATTGGAAAAAGCGCTCGGTTCTCCATTGCGAGCTCGTAGAGATGGTCTATTGGGCGTTGATGTATGCTTGGCAGCTGGGACCGGTTGGGACCTTGTGGGTTCTTGCGCCGGATGAAACGGATTCACCCTGAGGGTCCCAAGAATTTGGTTTGGCACCTTAGCCCCTGGATCAGCTAGTGATAGGCTGAAGGGCCCTCTGAAGATTGCCGCCCTCTGAAGAAAGGCTGGTGTTCCAATGTTCTCATCCCGACTTGTGAAGTGAACAAACAGAAGGACCATGTGAAGCCTCATGTTCTTGCCTGTTCAGTGTGGGACCAGACCTCTGAGACTTCCGGTCGCTCCTCCGCGACGAGAGGAGCGAACCGTGTGAGGGAGGAGCTTTCTCTGAGCGCTCGGAGACCTTCTTGGCCGACCGTGGTCGTGTCGGTCTTTCAGGGACCAGACTCTTTCAGGGACAGTCTTGGGTTGGAGGGTTGGAAGAATACAGTAGACCAAGCATGGCGAACACCTCAAGCATGGCGTTCGTTGGTTTTCGTGAGCCGTAGGTCTTTCTCACCAGAATCCAAGGAACCACCAGAGACCCACGGCAGCCGAGAAATTCAAGATTCACTTCCCCGAGGTTTGGATATATTTTCATTGAACTTCATGCTCCTCGGCCCTAGACGCGTCTTCATGCGTGGCTCTTTGGGTATGGATCTCGTGGATGTCCCGCGGATAATGTTTGAGGGAGTACGGAGTACGGTGCGACGCTCCGGAGGCGTTCTCCGCTGAGAGGAGGCGGGGACGATGGCTCTTTGGCATTCTTCTGCGTCGAACGTTTTTAGATGTGCATCGACCAGCACCACATCGCTAGAGACAACCCCGGGCTTCTCTGGACGGTGTCTCACCACGATCAAACTCCAAGCAGGTCGAACACATGTTTGTTCGACCCCATTGGCCGGAAATCCCGTTTCTGAATCCATTGAACTTCTTTTGAACGCATCTTGAAATCCATTGGAAAACAATCTTGAAATCAGCTTAGACATCCATCTCATCGCCCAAGACGCTCAACAATGTATTCCCCCAAAACCTGAGGATTCACCCATCCTTCAACTTGGGGCCTTCAAGTCGATCTTTGGATCTTTGGCTGACTTGATCATCGCACCTCGGCACCTGACGCCGTCGGGCGGTTTGGGCCGTTCTTTTTCGTGGGCCGTTCGGCACAACCCGGGTGGGTGGGTTCGCGACGCGCGGAGCTCCGTTGGGGGTTTGGGGAGGATGATGGGTCGGAAGGTCGTGTGTTCTTCTTGTTTTTCTATATACTCTATTTCTATTTCTATTTGGTTCCTGCAGGAACAGGTGAGGGTCGTGAGATTTGATGTCAGATTTTCTCTTCTTGGGACCCGGGGGAGGAGTTTTCCTGCGTGCATGGGCTTTGGTGACAATTTGGACTGTTTGGAAGATTTAGGAGGGATGGAAGAGCCCCCCTCATTGTTGGATTGGATTCGGCAGCCTTGAAGAGGGCATGGTGGTTCGTCATGAACGGTTCTCTCGAATGCGTTGATCGGTGGTTGGGCCATCTTGTCCTCAAGTCGGGCGGGTTCGGTCGCGCTCCCATGCGGTGCGGCGCGTGCGCTCGTACGCACTTCGTGGAAGCGTCGGGCGTCTGCCGCGGGTGCTCGACTTTGCGTAAGCTCGCCAAGGAGTTGAGGTTTCAGCCTCATTCGAGGCTGGAGGCGAGGCTTGCGATCGCTTGGCTCGAAGCGGCCCTCCGAGGACTTGAGATCCTACGAGACGAAGGTCATCTTCAAGAACAACACGCCCCTAGAGACGCTCCAACAGGTTTGACTTCAATCAGCGAGGGGCTTAGCAGGAGGCGAGGATCTGAGGCTGAACCTTCGACCAGGAGCCGAGGTACAGAGCGAGAAGAGGCAGCTGAGGAGAGAGCAGAGGAAGGAGAGGGCCGCAGGAGGAGAGAGAAGAAGCGCGACCGTGAAGGTGAGCGTCCAGATGGCCGGAGGAGGCGCAGAGGATAGGCAAGTGGATGATGCCCTAGGCTGGTTTTCCCTGGAGGATAGGGAGAGATGGATGTTGATGGGAGCCGCCAGAGGGAGGATTGCAGTAGTTGGTATAAAGATAGAAGAGCAGAGAGAAGAGCTCCCTGTTTTCATCCTCGAGCACAAGGTGTTGGCAGACGGCAGTTTGGCTTTGGGGGTGACTTCATTGGGGACCCGAGATCCGAAGGTATCCAGGAAGTTGACGAACCTGAACAAGCTCCTGCCCGACATTCATGTTTGCATAGACTCCCCTTGTTCGGTAGCTGGAAACTTCCTATGTCATTGCGAACAGTTAGAGTTGTGGCATGCACCGAACTTCAATGGAGCCGAGAGGCTGGGAGGCACAGGCAGGAAGCGTTGGGCTCAACTATGCATGGAGATCTTTGGGATCGACGTGTACGCCTTGGAGGATGTGAGAGCAGGCCGAGGTGCAGAGGAAGAGGAAGAGCGTGCAAGCGCCTTGAGAGAAGGAGGGATTCTAGGTCAAGGAGATCGAGGAAAGAGGCAGCGAGATGCTCATGTCAGCTTCGTTGGGGACGACGTGGACTTTCCTATCGAAGTGCCAGGAGAAGATGTGAGGGCAGAGGTTGCAGAGGTCAAGAAGAGGAGAGAGGATGGAGGAGACAGAGGACGTGGCAGTGCACCCAAGTCCCCAAGGCAAATCAATTCCGCCCTGGAGGACTTGTGATCCAAGTTGAAGGAGAGTCTGAAGAAGACCGACAACGCTGCACCCACTGCCCGTGGCTCAGAAGGATCCAAGAAGCGAGACGCCGAGAGCTCTGCGCCAGTCGAGAAGAAGAAGACTCCTGGGCCAAGGACCTTGGAGTTGGAGGTACTACATCGAGCAGCAGGAGAGGCGCGTGCCCTGGAAAGGCCTTGGTCGCAGCCGCATCTCAGGCAGCAGGCGAGACCACAGATGGCAGTTCGAGGAAGAAGAAGAGGAAGAAGGATGCTGGAGGCAAGATCCTCTCGTTGCTGAAGAGTGCATTGAACAAGAAGGAAAAGAAAAAGAAGAGGAAGAGGAAGAAGGATTCAGAGGAGAAGGACGGAGGCTCTCCCTCAAGCGGCGGAGGATCGGACGACTCGGACGACAGCGAGGACGACGATGGAGGGAGCTCAGACTACTCGACAGAGGACGAGAGAAGCGAGGAGAAGAAGGCGAGAAGGCTTCAGGCACCTTTGAAGCGGCGCAGCCAAGAAGAAGAAGGGGAGCGTGATCACGCTCTTGCTGGAACAGATAGCCGAGCAGCTACCTCACTCGTGGACCCAGAGTGGGAACCTATTGGCAGGTGACACTACGGCAGAGGATTTCAGCCGGCCATCCAGCCCTACGCGAATTGTACCTCTTGGCCGCCGTGATCGACAAGGTACGTTCAGGCCACCTCCTCGAGGCATTGGATGCCTTGGCCGGCCGCTTTATTGCGGTAGAAGCCGCAATACAGGACGGGTGGAACATCGCCAAACACCTCGAAGTCGCAGTCCCGTCCGACCAGGCCATTGCGTTTACAGAGCTTCAGTTGGCGGCGCAGAGACACAACAACATGGTAGCCAAGGCGCACGGACTAGAAGGCAAAGGAGCCTGGAGGATTGGAGGAGGTCGCAACTGGCAAGGAGGAGGGAAAGATAGAGGAAAGAGCTGCCTTTCCGCACGTTTGGTCCCGCTTTTGGAAAACAAGTTGAGTGGAAGTGTTTTTGAAGATTGCTTCAGGGACAGCTTTTGGGGGGAAGAGGACTATACAGATGCTTGGGTCTTGTGTTCCGTCAAATTCTGTCAACTTATGTATGGGGGGGGTCAGGGTTTGCGCGTGGTCGAGATAAGAAGGTTCATTGGGAATCGCTGAGAACCATTCGCCGACGGGTTGAGAACGTGTTGAAAGAGGCTGACCCCCACTACGTTTGGACAGTCCAGCACATCAAGAATGATTTGGACTCCAGGGACATTGGATATGCTGGTGAGGAGGTAGGAAAGGTAGAGGTGTTAAGTGCCGCTCAAATCCTTCCCTCAGTTCCCCCTGCTGGTAGAGGAGGCTCCATTCGATTGATTGACTGGGTTAGCCCTTCCACCAAACGTTTGCTTGAGTCCCCAGAGCTGCTTGAGATTGAGGACAGAGGACAGGAGATTCCGAAACTTCAAGGACGAGTACACATAGCGCCAGGGGAGAAAGAGAAGGTAGCTAAACTTTTGGTAGAACGGGGTGGTGTCGTGAGTCGGAGGTGTTCACCTTTCGAGGTATCCCCGTGAAGAACGGCATGTTTGGTGTCGTTAAACCGGGGCGCGCAGTCAATGGAGTGGAAACACTCCGAGTCATCATGAATCTCATCCCAAGTAATGCTCTCCACAAGGTGATTGAGGCCTCGGTGCATCGACTACCTTCCATCTCACAGTGGACTTCTATATTCTTGGGACGCCAGGAACACCTTGAGATCAGTCAAGCAGACATCACGTCTGCTTTCTACTTGTTTGAACTCCCAAGCTGTTGGTGTAGGCGGCTGGCGTTCAATCTAGATATGAAAGGAAAGGACATCGGGCCTGACTTTGACGCAGACACCACCTACACCCTATGCGCAAGGGTACCCCAATGGGGGGATGACCTGTTACGGGCTATGGTGGCCCGGACTTTAGAAGCGGAGGATGTCAGTTTTGGTGCTTTGCTCCTCTTGGGGTACTTCGGGCTGCTGCGGACCGGTGAACTGGTTGCTTTAAGGATTGGAGATATTCGAGTGTCAGAGGCTTCCCCCAAAACTAGTGCACGGCGAGGTCAAGGAGAGCATGTTGTGATCCGGGATACCAGTGTTATTCAGTTCATTAGGTGCCTTCTCAGGCTCCGGACGGCGAAGCATGAGGCCATTTGGAGTTTCTCGCCACAAAAGTTCCGTGATCTTTTCGCTGACTATGTCAGCTTCTTCCGTTTGCAGTCGTACGGATACCGTCCTTACTTGCTTAGGCGAGGCGGGGCCACTCGGCTCTACCGCTTGCAGACTCCCATGGGCATCATTTTAACCCAAGGGAGATGGAAGACTTCTGGCTCAGCCCGTACCTATATTGCGGACGGCGTGACAGAGTTGGGTAGGCTGAATTTGAAACCCCGGACTTTAGCTCTTTTTGCTCAGTTCCATGCGCTTGTTGGCTTCAATTCGCCTTGATGAAATCAACGCAAGCTGGAATTTCTTCCAGGGAAGCGTGGAAAGGTAGATGACCCAGAGGTGTTTCCTTTTGAAGTTTCATCATTTGCTGTAGTGACCTCTGGCATGAAAGAGCACGAACTTCCGGTCCTGCCACATGGACCGTGTGGGATGTTGAAATCTGTGCTCTTCAGGTTCTGCCACATGAACCTTGATGGTAAAATAGAAAAGTGCCTGAGGAGGAGCACTTCAAATGCCATGAGGCACTGCAGTTGTGAATGGTGACGAAGTCACAAGTGAAGTTTGCAAATGTTTCGAGCTAGAAGAGAGTGGAGTGATCTGACAAATCTGTGATTTTGGGAACGATGACGAGTTTTGGCCATCCAGCAAAGTGGCCGGGTGAGGGACAACACCACCAGGTGCTCTTTGTGGATTGATAGTTCTTTTTGGTTTCCGGGAATTTTGGCTCTTGTTTCTTCTTGATGCTTTCTATGTCTCTTGCCGTGATCAGGAATTTTGTGGTCTTTTTCGGTGTCTAGTTTGTGATGTGTGGATTTTCGGCTGGCTTTGTGTTTTGTGTGGCTGGGTCATCCATTAGACATCTTGGTGTGAACACCAGTCACCTCCGGGGTGATGTTGGTCATTTGGATGTCTCAATATACTGGGGGTCATGTCAAAGCCAAACCATTAACATGTCAAAACCCAAGCATGATTTTGTGATGCTCTTGGATAGTCCGTATTCTATCAAAACGTCTCGGTCGGGGATGCATTTTCCCTGGTCCCGTTCCGAATCTCTTCCGCCTCTCGTCGGTGAAAAACAGGACCCCCAAAGGCGAAGCCATGAAAATAGCCGGCGCTGAGGCATGTGTCTTCAGCCTTTGTGGGGTTTGGGCCCATACCACGGCTCAGAACGATCGGCTTCAATCCTCGATCCAGGTGCGTTCGGTGGTCCAACGCCGAATTCCGGGGTTGGAAAGGGGTGAAATTCGAAAGTCAGCCTGACAGGAGCTGTGTCATGCAACAGTCTCAAGGATGGTGTCGCATTTGTTATGGCCGGTCACTGGTCAGCCTTATTATCTAAATCACAAGGTTTTTTTCTTGAAGGGGTATCGGATCCTTTATCAGTCCTCCTCATCGAAGCCATCATCCACTGTTGGTGATGGGGAAATGCTTGAGCTAGCTGAGCTCATGTGAGCCATCCGCAAATGATCTGTAAAGGCACAGGAAGATCTATTGACCCCACCTCTGTCCTCAAGCCCTCGGTCGAAGTAGTTGGTAGCGAAGTAGGGTGGAAGCAGGTTTACGAATTGGGGCGCACTTGTCAATTGTGTCAAACGGGAAGCTCCCTTTAGTCCAAATTCCTTGGTTTCATTTGTCCCTCCTGTGTGGCATCCATGACAGGTGGAAGGGCGGTTCCAAAATGGTTTGAGTCCCTGGAACCAGTGGAATTGTCTCCTCCACTCTCGGACCTGATCTTCTGCACCCCAAAGACACTTGTTTAGGGTCCTTTTGGCGCGGGGTGGAATCGATCCGAAACTTCGTTTTGGCCAATACTCCTTGGACTCCTTGGCCTTTCCGGGAATAAGAAAAAACGAGGGTCAGATCCGCTTCGACCGGTCCGGAGTGCAGGAGCTCGACCTTCGGATGCTGGTGGATAAGCAGCATGTGGAGACGGGTGCCTCGCGTTTCACCGTCTATTGTGCCTTGCGCAGCATAGTGAGACGGCGGGCGGACGAGTCGGGGTTCCGGAATCCACACCCCGGGTTTCGTTTTCTAACCCCGGTTTCCAAGCAAACCCTGTGAATTCCACGTGTTTGGTCTGACAGGGCAGGAGGAATTTGCTTTTAGAATCTTTTTGAGTTTCTTTTGTAGAAATCAGGATCGATGCTACAGCTTCCTGCTTTGCCACCATTAGCTCTTTGTGATCGAGTAAATCACGGCCACGCTTCCTCCTTGAGTCAACATTGCTGATCAATCAGTTCCAAGATCCAATTGCGCGCGAAGTAGAAACGAGGAACACCATTAATTGCTATATATTGGTCACTAGAGGCTAGTTCTACGTAGCTCACACAGGACCCATCGGGCCTCTGCTGAAAACTCACGTTACTGACTGTCTTCACGTACGGCTTCCTTCTTTTTCGGGTGCAACTTGTTGGATCATTTCTAGTCTAGGACAACGCCCGGTTCAAGTTGGAATTGGAGATTATTCACACGCGGGTAACGGAATAACAACGATCTGTATACAGGCTAAGAGTGATCCAGGCTAAGGGTCGGTCATTGGACACTCCTTAGAGGGTCCTGGTATAGTATCGTTTAGCCGATATATAGTCATAACTCTCCAACCTTCGCGTCTCTGGATCTAATTGATGTATTCAGAGGTTCGACGGCGCAGACCCCATTGATGTCTTTCCAGAGGTTCGATGGGGTTCTAGAGTCTATCAAAAAGACACCTTTCTACGCCGGGGGACGTGCCATCGAACCTCTCCTCCTGTGCACCTCCCACGCCTTCAATCGCTCCAGGTATTCAGAATCTTATTAGCCAGCGGAGTACCTCTTCGGGTCAGCTGCAACGGCTGGTCGGCCACTCGGGCCGACCCCTTCGGGTTCACAACAACAAGCGGGCCGGGCCGCACGTCACGGGACCGGCGCCTTCACGGGACATCTTCAGAGAGACGTCTTAAGAGTTCCAAGGTTGACGGTTTTGACGGTTTGGCTTCTGCATTTGGGGTTTTGAGTGCTTTTTTTGGTGCTTTCCACTAAGTGTGCTTTTCTAGTGGTTGGCATCTGGAGCTGCGGCAATTACTTGGAAGGTCACTTTGGGTTTGGTTTCGTTTGGGCTGGAACATCGGAAGTTTAAAGCTGCAGCCATATGAATTTTAGAAGGCGTGCGACTGGATTGGATGGCCCATTTTCCCACCAACTGCGTTCCCCGCGTCCAACTTTGACTCCCCCAACCTGGCGCAACCAGCGGGAAGTTGTTGGTCCATCAGTTGAAAGGGACTCGGGTAGCTGCTAGCCAGGGCGTTCTGGGTGATCACGAGGACTAGAGAAAGGTGGACAAGGAACCCTGCTGGGAAACAATGCAAATCCTCGAACAGCTGGTGTTTCTGATTGGGCTGGGCCCTTCGTTTTACCTCGGACAGTCCAAGCAAGTGGGCTTTCAGCCGGGGGGGTCTAAAGACCAAGAATCCAAAGTATCTGGATCGACTTTCAACACCCAAGCAGTTTCATATGTGCTTCACAAACCTCCTGCAGATCCACAAGTAGACTCCACACTATCTGGACTATTGCTTTTCCGGGGGTCCATCGCGGGGGGTGTGCACACTCACCGGTGTGCTCGGGTTGGGCCTCCGGCTGAGGAAAGCTTAGAGAGATGGCCATGGGCACGATGCATTTGCTTGAAGAGGAGGCACCTGGGTGGCTGGAAGAGACCTTTTTGCCTCGGGAAGATCCTTTTCCAAGCTCTCCAGTGATTGGGAACTCTTTGTTTAGAGAGAGGAGTGTAAGCTCAGCGGCTTGGCACCCCCCTCCCACGCAGCTTCACAGTTGTGCCTCAAACAACTCCAAGCTCCGACTGTGTACCGAACCCGTCGAGCGGGTTTCTACAGGCAAGAGCTCCGCCACGTCAGTGCCTTCCCAGAGAAGGGTTCGACACCGGCATCCACAGACCTCCAGGTGACCTCCCCTGATATGTGTGACCTCCCTACGCGCCACATGACTCCCCCCCGTGGTCCGTATGCTTGAGGACTTTTTGGGCAGCTGGTGAACCTGTCTTTTAGTACTCCTTTTTGCCAGGGAGATGGAGAACTTTGGCGAACAGATGGTGAAACATGAACATGCGTGTCAGAGTGAATTGAGTAAGCTCGCGATCCTGGAAAAAACCGAAGCTGAGGGTGAGTAGCATTGGACGACCAACATTGGTTGGGTCAAACAAAATCTCATAGACTCACACTTGCGCTGGTGTTCAGATTCTTGTCGGTCGCCAAGTCATCCTAGTTCTTGATGATCAACCATTCTCTCCCAAGTCTAGAACAAAGGCTACGCCCCCCGGGCCACCACGCTTTGGCGTTCTCGAGGTCTTGCTAGCCCTTGAGTCCTGCTGTCACGGCTCGGATGGTACGCCCGGGTTTCCCAGGCGGTTCCCACAGCGTTGCTGTCGAGCCACGAGGGATCGAAACAGGGCGGGCAACCCGGGCAAGGCTTCGTCGGTCAACCAACCTCATCCACCGTTCGCCATTGGCCATTGGTGTACGACAGCGTTCGAGGTGCGCCTTGTCGTATGCGGTCTATCCACCCATTTGAGCAGGTCATGAGGTCCCACAGGTCCGGCGATGGAAGGGGACCCTCACAGCTGCCTCTTCTCGGTAACAGGCAAAGGTGACCCTCTCATGCATCAGGCTCTCAGCCTGCGGGGAAAAAGGGGGTTTGGACAGATTTTGCCGGTGTTGCGGCACGCACTGGTGTTTGTAACGATTTGCAATTCTTCACTGCCCTTTGGAAGAACTGTGATGATCTCCATCGGCTTTTCACCACGATCATCCACCATCGGATCTCGCACTCCTTCAGCCTTCAGTGGGTCACCGGGGGTAGCCCAGGTCACCTCCCGACGATTTGCTCTACGTCCTGAACTGTTCAGAGGTTGACTTACCTCAATTCTTAGCCTTGACCAGTCCAGCGCTTAGACCACAGTCACTGGCGCTTAGTCCGTCCCAGGCTTCTGCCGGGCGCGGACGACACCGCGTCACGGCGGAGCTCCACAGAGCTCGCTCTCCACGTCCGCGTTGGGCGTCGCCAGCGAAGGGTTCAGGTGGATTTTCTCGTTCCTCAGAGACGCCTCCCTTTCCTTTGTGGGAGGGCCGGGGGCGGAAAGGGCGTCCTCGGGTGGATGAAGCCCCTCTACCAACGACGAGCCCCGGCGCTCCGCCCGGGCTCGGGCTCCGCCACCCACCGAGCTCCGCCAGCGCCAATTGGCGCTGAACGGGGAGATCAGCCGTCGACCCGACCGAGGTAGCGATCAGGTGATCCACCTCTTCCGGAAGCACGTGATGCACATGGACACCGTGACCAAGACGCGGCTGGTGGATGCGCTCCAACGGCAGCACGACTTCTACGCGAACCGGTGCCTCGACCGACGAGTCCGCGCGGTGGAGGCCAAGCCCGGTCGACAGTGGGAGACACACCGCGGGTGAGGGTGAGGAGGCCGGCCCCACGCACTGGTAGTGTTTGTTTTGGTCCAAAGCCTCAGGGACTCTTTTGGAATCTTCTCGTACTATTCAGATGGGTTCCGATGGGTTCCGAAAAGCAACCTTTAGATGACTCAGAGATCTGGTATCCAGTACTTGCCTATCGCTCTACCCCAGTCCGCGCCCTCTGCCTATCTACCCAGCTTCCGAGGCTCCAACAGGAGTTGGTGGTGGAGTTGCTGGAGAGCACCACTGGGGACGAGCTTCGGATGCCCCTCGGGCGGCGAACGACGCGCCCAATGTGGCCGGCTGAGAACAGGTTCGATGTGACTTCAGAGGTGAAGTATGGCACTGGCACCACTGCCCCAACAGGTCTATCCGACAGATGGGGGTCCCCAGAAGCCACCGACATTGGGGATCATGCCATCTACTCTCAATCCACTATAGTTTGGTGGGGAACGTCAAGAGAGCTCATCATACAGTCATGGCGGATTTGGAAGGACCGCCGACTTTGGATGATAGTCTTTTTGGCAAGAGGTTGTGATGCATGAATACAGCATCATACATCCCATTATTCCCATTGTGCAGAATGGTCGTTGTCGTTGATTAGTTGATCCCATCGATAGTTGATCCATGGGGAGCATCGATCTGGACTCCAAAATTCTCGGGGTGTCTTGGCAGAAGGAGCCCTCTTTAGACCAGTCTTTGTGGTGTGGGAAAAGGTGGTTGAACCACCAAGTGCCTCCCTGGACTGGACCAAGCTACCAGGTATCGAAATTGGATTTCATGACAACTTTGGATCTTGGGTTCCACGACCTGGAACGTGATAGAGGACCTGGCCACAGCTCGAAAAAGCCTGGTCGTCATGGGTCTGTTGTTCAACAGGTTCATCAACCAAGTGGTTCATCCTGAGGATGAAAGACATCCTGGACGAGGGTGGAGACTTTTACAACCTACACAAGCTGGTCTTCCACGATCTGGACCCTGAGATGTGCCATGGCCACCGCTGAAGCGTCGTTCTTCGCCGCTTCAGTCGGTCCCACGGACGGGTGTGGGGGTGCGGATCGATCGGCGGAGGGAGCTCATTTGGTTTCATCTGGTTAGCACTTGAGACCCGCAAAGCGGCCCAAGAACTGTCTAGAGGAGGACCATTTGGAGGGTGCTGGTAAGAGTTGTCACTCATCGAAATGTAGCACAGGTGTGAGTGCCAAGTGGCCAGGCCGCTCCGGAAATGGATATATATATATATGCTTTCTATCCCTAAAGAGATGTGAGCTTTCACCGCTCAAAGTCTTTTGGTTCAAAGCCCCGGTCGATGAGCCTGACCTTGGCTCTTGATTTCCTTCGAGAGCTTCGTTGGTCCTGGCCTGCCTACTGCAGTTCTTCTGGCAGAAGCCTTCCTCTCGTGCTCCTGCTGGTGATTCTGGCTTGGTGCCTAGGCTGCTGTTGAGCTGGGCTATCACTGGTTGCGCTGCCGCTCTTGTGGATCCAGTTCCCCAACAGGATTCTCTGCGGCTAGGGCAGTACCGAGCGGTGCATGGGGCCTGAGCGCAACTTGGAGCAGCTAGTTGTGGAATTTGGCGATCTCAGGAAACGAGTTGAAAGAGCTGGAGGCTATCAAGCGGACGCAGGCAGTGCAGCAGCGTCCTCGACTACAGGACCCCCCCCTTCAGGGTGCCCTGCCAGGCCCAACACGGGCCACCGTTGGGCAGAGCTCAGCGACTTCAGCAGCTGCTTCTGATCCTGGATCTTGGGAACCTGTTGTGGCTGAAGGTTCATCCTTTGCACCTCACACTCCTGAGTGGGAGAGGGCCCTCATTGCAGCCCTCAGAGATCGAGGGCCTTGATTTGAGCCCAGTACCTCGCATCCGTAGCAGCAGCAACGGCTGGAGCCCCTTGGGCCTCTGGGTCGAGCATTGAGAGCAGGAGTGCAAGCTAAGGAGAAGTTGGATCGTGGTCGTTGCTCAGCAGGAACTACCTCAGCTTTGACCTTGCCCTCCAAGATCTACATCATCCTGGAACCAGCCCCCAGCGGCAAAGCCGGTTGGACCGACAACTATTTGACCTTCAGAGATCAAGTACTTGGGCGTCACGGTGACATCCACGGAGACGCAGTGTGCCACGCCTTCCCCTCGCGAGCCGAGGCGGAGGCATACCTCATTGGTGCTCAGTGGCCATGGCCGGCGCTCCTGCGCCGACCTTAGACGAGTTGGGGCTTCGAGCCCTGTGGGATTCTGTCCCTCCCGCAGGGCAGCTGCCAGCTCTTTTCTTGGTCTTGCCGGCCAAGGAAGATGGGACAGGGCTGCGGGTCACCGCCTTTCTGGTGAGGGTTCGCTCCGGAGGCTTCATGGTGGCTTTGCCAGATTTTGTCGAGGTCTCCCAGTTTTTGAGAGAGCAGTGGACCACCGATGGGTCAGAGGCTTGCGCTATCTATCCAACCGAGGTCCTCATGGAAAATCCTCGTGGAAGAGTTCTCACAGAAGGCCCTTGTGCTCTGGTCGATTTGGTTTGGGAAATGGCTCGCCTGTTCATGCGAGCTCATCCGTCGAGGAGTTCAAGCACCTTCGAGCTCTTGCGATTTTGCCTTGAACGACCAGCCTTGTCGCCCTCGGCGATCAGCCTTGCAGGCCGTGGCCGAGCACTGGATTCACGAGGTGATGGACGACGAACGGCTGGAGATTACGTGACAGGGCTATCAGAAGAGGAGCTCCTTGCGGAGGAGGATCAGGCTGGTGCAGGAGGAGGTGGTCCACAGCATCTCGATGCTTTGCAAAGAAGAGTGGCAGAGCCTGGCAGGGGCAGCCCCTGTGAGGTTGGGGGCAAACGAACAAGCCCAAAGGGCCCAGAGAGACTAGCGAGCTCGAGGACGGCATCAGAGATCTGGAGGCCACAGTTCAGGATCCAGTCCAGCGGATGCTTCTTCAGATGCAGCAGCTCTCCCTCCTGACACGGCAGCAGCAGCAGCAGCAGCAGCAGAGGCACGATCTCTGCCGCTCTGGCCAGTGCAGGGATCAAAGGATGTATGGCCAGGGAGGCCTTCATCCGCCTGATGGAGGACTTGCCCAAATACTCCTCTGTTGTGATGGCAAATGCGGCTCGCGAGCTGGGAGTAGAGCTATCAAGTGTGGGCCCAGGGCTCATGCGAGACTACATCGAAAAACACTGCCCACTTGGAGACAATCGCCATCTCACACAACAAGCATATCTCTGGGCATTCGCCTGGGAGACCGGGTTCCGCTCCAACAACGTCGAGCTCCTGGCCACTGCAAGTCGGGGACTGGTCTACACAGATCAAACGGCTATGGACTTCAACAAAGCAAAGTTGAGCTGGCTTCTCACGGCCTTGCCAGACTCTCAGTACAGCGCCTTGGCCAATGCGAGCTGGGTTGGGGCCAACGTGGCCTTCATGAAGGATTTAGATTTTCTGGAATCAAAGATGAAGGCCGCCACAGGCCCTGCAAAGGGAGCCACACCTCAAGACGAAGGTCACGAGGAAGCCACTTCAAAGAAGCCCTGGAGGCCGAAGAAGAAGAAAGCCAATGCTGGCGCGACCACATAAGGGTCGACTGCCTAGATGGCATCGTGAGCACTCCGTCACCCACTCCTCTAGTCCCCTCTTTGCCGGGCTGTTCTACGTCAGGACGGGGGGCTTGTAGCCGCACTGTCATTTCCGGTCGGGAGGCGGCGGGGGGGAGGTTCGGGTGGCATTTTCAATGGGGTGCCGAAGGAAGACAGGCAGTCCGGCCATGAGCCGAGAGAAGGAAGCTGCGCCGTTCAAAGCATGAAGCTAATCCTGGACTCCACCACCCCCAGGCGGCCAGTTTCCAGTTCCAATTAGGTGCACCGAGATGGTGACAGCAATTGCTATGGCAGCGGGGTCTGGTTCAGATCTTGCTCATTTTCTCCACCGAAGCTGTCACCCAGTCCGCAATGCTTGGGCCTTGCAGCCGCGAGGCGATCTTTGGCCTTGTCCCCCTCCGAGGCGATGGACGGCCGACACTTCAGTTTCTCCAAATCCCAGAAGAAGGCGACGGCTTCGCGACCTCCAAGCTCGAGCTATCTGCGTCCAGAGGCTGATCATCACGATTAAGTGGCTGGCGCTTGGACAATGCAGGTCTCCTCCTGAGTATGCCCGGGCTGGCTTTCCTGCTTCAGCCGGCCAAGTAGCTATGGTTGAGAGGCTCGAAGATTTGGTTGACTATTACCTGGGTTCTGGTGATGTAACCCTGGATAGTTTGGGTAGAGCCGGTGAGAAGTTGAAGAATTTGAATGCAGCCGCCTTTACACTCCCGAGTTTTTCCAAGGAGTTTGAATTCAATGACCTTGCTAGTTTTTTAGATCTCACTCAATCCTCTTTGATTCGTATTCGCACCCTCGAAGTCGGAATACCGGTGGCTCAGACGAAGAGATCTCTGGCACAGGCTCTGCCCAGGACACTCAGGGTGGGACTCACCCACAAAAGTTGTCTTTGAATGCTTGCACAGCCCTGCCAGTTCAGGCTTCTAGAATAAAGTGGAAGCTTGCTCCAAGTTTTGATCCCCGGCCCTATCTGACTGACCCCATCATCCAGCAAGCGTTCGAAGACCCTGAAGTGTTGCGACGGCCTTTGACCGACTGGCCAAGAGTTGCTAAAGCAAAAGTTCATGCGTCGAAGAAGGAGGTGTTGGCGCTGGCAGAGAAGTGGGACCAGTTAGGGGCTTGCAAGCTGGTGTCATGCGATGGTGTGAACCCGGTTGAGACGGTTCCCAAAGACGATGAGTACGACCGGCTTATCTTGAATCCGAGTGTTGTGAATTCTAGATCGTATTCGAACTACACCAAAACTCTTGCCCGCGGATATCTGGTTTCATGATCACGCTCGCCGACGACGAACAGCTTTTGATATCCTCCGACGATTTGTGTGAGTTTTATTACACTTTTTTGGTTTCTTCAAAGAGGGCTCAGCGCAATGCAATTGGTATCAAGTACCCCGCTTCAGAGGTTGCTCATTTACAATGCTTTGATCCTTCAATACACCCAGGTTCATTGTACTTGTGTTTGGGAACCTTGGCAATGGGAGATGCTTTGGCGGTTGAGATCGCCCAACAATCCCACCTAAACCTGTTGCGGCTACGGGCTGGTTGCATGGTTCCTGAAGAGTGCTTGCAATACAGGTGTCCAATCCCCCGTGGCCCTTTCTACGAGTTGTTGACCATCGATGACCATATCAGGCTGCAGAAGGTCAAGAAGAGTGGGGATTGGAGCCTGAGCCTGCATTGCAATCGTGATGAACAGGTCAACGGCGTGAACCACATGCCACAGTTCCGGGCGCCGAGGACGATGGCTGTCGTGGCCATGTTTCAGCCCCAAGAGCAAGGATCATGCTGCTGAGCTTCATCACGTCTGTCCTAGTTCACAAACGGTTCGCTACCAAACAACTACTTCAGGGGCTACTGGGTTGTTGGACCCATATCTTTTTATTCAGACGGCCTGTATTTGCAGTATTAGATGCTGTTTACAATGAAGGCAATGGTTTGAAGCAAGATGTAGTTTTCAAGCTCTCCAGGGCTTCAAAGAACGAGTTGATGACCTTGTGTCTCCTTGCACCAGCAATACAAACAAACATGCGAACGCATGCACACCCTCAGCTCTTCATGATGGATGCTTCGCCGTACGGCGCTGGGATCTGTCGGACGACGCTTTCAGCCGCAGCTACCGACGAGCTGTGGAGGCGCTCGGAACAGAGGGGTTATTACACTCGTTTGCAGGAGGGTCCTGGGCTAGCGCTTCGTGAGTTAGGGCTGGAACATGAGGAACAGTTTGGACAGCCAGATCAGGAACCGTTTGTTGTGAAGCCGCCCACAGAAGCAAAAACGGGTGATGGTGCAGCCCAAACCAAGCAATCTCTGAAATGCAGACATTACCGAAGACCCTGGCTGCTCACAAGACACGTAAGCTCCTGCTTGAAGAGCCAAGGTCAACAGAAAAGCTGTCCGCACTGCTAAAAGAGTCTGCTCCTTAGTCACGGCATCTTCAAGATCAAACCCAGCTGGCTCGGATTTGGACCTAAGCCTGGGCCTTCTCAATGTACCGAAAGACCAGCGCGGGGGTGCTGCATGCCACTCTCCTATTGCTCCATTGTATCCTAGGGTTGCAAGATCACGGAATGTCTGCTTGTTGGAGAGGTCACCGTAACCTCTACCTTCAGCCGCTCGCTCAATGCCAGGATGCACTCTAAGGCCACATTGTTTGTGGCAAAGGCTCCAGTTTCCCTGACCCGCAAACAATTCGATGCAGTCAAAAACTTGAGTCCTGTCTTTGAGAGTTCGGCTGAACTTCTACTGTTCTGCTTTTGGTTCTGCATCTCAAAAGTCCAGTCAATGGTTACACAACAAGCATTGGTATTTATCTCCTGCGGGGAAGTGCACTTGCAAGTATAAGGTAAACACTTCACCATTGAGGGTTCCTTGACTAAAGCTTCCATCCCAGTTTTTCTTTCTCGCTGCAAGCCAGATTGCATGAGTGTCTACGGAAGGCTTCCGGTCCCAGGTGAAGCCGTCAATTCGTACTCCGCTAGCTATCCGCTGCCGCTCTGTCAGGTGATGGCATCCGGCAGCTCCGCAGAACACCGTGGTTGCAGTGAACACAGAAGATGCTTGCGACTCAGGCATTCGGTGGGATAGAGCTTGGCACGACGATCCGGAGTGGGTCGAGGATTTGTGCGAGCGTCTGCCTTACAAAGAGTTGTTCCGGTATAAGTTCCGACGATCCGGCCATATCACTGTTTGGAATGCAGAACATACAAAAGTTGGATCAAATCAATTTCAAAAGTGTGTTTCAACAGTCGTCTTGTTGCATTGTTAGATAGCAGGGTTACTATGGGAGCCGTGGCAAAGGGTCGCAGCAGCAGCAAAGCATTGAGCAGGATTTTGAGAAGCACACTTCCGTACGTGCTTGGGAGTGGGTTGTATCCGGGCACATTGCGTTGCAGATCTGCTTGGAACCGGGCCGATGGACCTTCAAGGGATGGCCCAGTTCCCCCTCCTACAAGGCCCATCCCTGTTTGGTTGAAAGCGTTGCTGGACGGCAACGCAAGATCTTTTGACATTATGCTGGCATCAGCAGAATGGATCCGTCCTGTGGGGAGGTGGTATCGCCTTCTTTTGCTGATGTCAGGAGACATCGAACAGAATCCCGGGCCTCGGCAGTTTTCCTGCTATCAGCCCAGGGGGGATTTGAACATGCTAAGCGGGTTTGCGCAGGCGACCTCTGTTCGAATGAAGAAGTGCCTAGAGGCATTTGAGCTTTGGTGTACTACCGAGGCCAAGGTGACACTAGAGGAGGTTCTAAGCACCGCAGAGCTTGCAAATATGGGTCTTAAAGGCTATGGGCTTGCATTGTTTAAGCAGGGAGCACCTCGCTACTGGCTTGTCTATGCCATTACGGCAGTACAACAGTTGCGTCCAGAATTCCGTTCGTGTCTGACTGGCGCTTGGGCTGTTGACAAGAAGTGGCAACTTGAGGAGCCCGGCCAATGCCGAGCTGTTCTGTCTGCTCCCGTACTGCGTGCTGTACTTTGTCTCTCACTTTTGTGGGGGTGGTGGTCGTTTGCTGCGATCACAGCGCTTGGTTTCAGGAGGAATGTTGCATCCCAATGAATTCCTTCAGTTGACACGGAGGGACTTGATCTTTCCGTCGGATTCCATGCTGGAGACACGTTCGCTGTACATCTTTGTCAAAAACCCCAAGACATCACGTTTTGCACGAAAACAACACGTTAGGGTCGACGGCGATTCTTTAAGTTTTCTTGCTTGGTGTGTGTTTGGCCTTCAAGCTTTGGACACAAAGTTGTTTGCAGCATCAACCGCTGCGTACAGGCGGCAGTGGAACAGTGTCATGGATTGCTTGCAGATTCCTCGCCGTCAATCGGAAGGAGGAGCTACACCTGGAACGCTCCGTGGCTCAGGAGCAACTCATGAATATTTACAATGTGGCAACATTAGTCAGATTCAATGGAAGGGACGTTGGAATAGATTAAAAACTCTTGAGCATTATATTCAGGAAGTTGCCGCGCAGTTGTTTTTTTCAACTTGAGCCCAGTAGCTAGGCAAAAGATAAGTGCTTTGAGCAGTTGTTTGCCGTTGGTGTTGGAAGAGCTCTTCCCTCGAGAGGTTCAAAAATTTTGCGAAGCAGGATGAAGGGAGTGGAATGTCGACACTGCTGGTTTTGACCTCCACGTTGAAGACGATGGCTGTTGCTGGCAGATCTCCATTCGACTTTCTCAGTTGGCAGCGCATGCCTTGACCCTGAATCTCAGGGGTGGGAGTTCTTGTGACAGCGGAAAAGAGCGCGAGGGATATATATATATATAGATATATTTCATGTATATATATGTACTTTCTTTCTTTCTAACATCTCCCTGCCAAAAAAGCAGAAAAAAAGAAAGCATTACAGGCTCATTTTTCACGAAGCGTGTGTCAAATCGAGGTTTGTGCAGCAGGTCTTTTGGCCTTCTTGAACAGTTCTTTGTATGGTCCCTAGAAGTCCACAAACTACATTATGTTGCCCCACTGAAGTAAAGAAAGGCTTTTGGGTCACCTGAAGACCACTTGTTTAAAATAGTCCTTGACTCGCAGGTGATCAACTCAAGATGTCTGAATAGTCTTGACCCCACCTCTGTAGCCGTTGGCATTTCTGGCTGCACCGAGCCGTCCCTTCACCTCCGTCGCACGGGCGTGCTCCGCCTGCCACGGGGTGGCTTTCTTCACCGGCCACGCGGTTCAGGCATTCCAGGGTGCTGAGCCATATCCAGCAGCAGGGGCGCCGTCTGGCCAAGCAGTACGACCCGGGGCAGGTGGGACCCCCACAGAAGGGACGGGGGGTGGTGCTTGGATTTCATGCTGAGACACAAAAGTTTCGCCCACATCCACCCGCCACGTCTCGAAAAAAAGAGGGGGTCCATGACACCACCAGCGCCTGACCCACCTGACCCACCTGACCCATCGACCGGGGTGGGTGGCACCTGCACTGCGGCCAAAGCCCGCGGCCCGAACGCTCGGCTCTGCTCCGCTCCTTCGGCCCGAACGCAGGCGCCCATGAAGATTGTGAGTGACGTGGACGACACCCTCTATGGGAGTGCCCAGGGCGGCAGAATGCCAGGAGAGAAGCGTCTTGAATATCGATGCAGTTACCTTCTCGAGCAGTGACTTTCTCAAGGTGGGAGAACCCTCAGTTTTTGGGCTTGATGCACAGACAGTATAGAACCTGTGGATTCCTCAGACATTGGGCACACAAAATATATCTGTTCATCTCTGTTCATAGCTCCAAAGACCACAGGACCTGGAACTCTCTCAGTTTTCTGGCATCCCTTAGAAACTAGTGCCGACAACTCAAGGATAGGTGGCCAGTGAAGAGTACCAAAGCGATTCCCTTGTCGACTGAACATCCCTCGCACTTTAGCTTGGCGTTTTGAACCTGGTGAAATCCTTGTGAAGACTTGTTTTTCGTTCAAACGATCTGTGAGATTTTCAGAGTCATCGGGCGCACTCCCTTGGCTTGGAAACGACCGCGCTTGGCTACGGCAAACCTGAGACGAGCTGGAAGGCGAGCGATTGGACGAATCAGTGAGGAAGACTTGTTGAAATCACTGGGCAAAGAAGAAAGACCCCACAGGGTGCTCCAACCGTCCGACGAGTCTTGTGTTCGTTTTTGTTTAACTCTTTTTCGTCGTCTTTTGGAGCCAAGATCATGAGGGAGTGTAGGAGTGTAGGACAAAAGGTCGCTGCGCAGAGACGATGAGAGGTCGATCCTTTTGATGCTGCGATGCTTCAGACGGATCTGTGGGGCCCACAACGTCCCACGTTCCCAGCGTTCTGAAAACCTGAGGCGGTGGACACTTCCCGGCGGGCTGCGATGAGCGGTTTCCCCGGCATCAGGCGAGCATTCGCTGCTCACCGTTCGATTTGGGGTGGTGAGCTGAATATCTTTAGGGTAGGGAAGGTCCATGACGATAATACTCAGCATCCTACAACAAAAAGCAAAGCACTGGAGAATCTTGGTCCTTCTCTGCGAACATGGGGGCTTTTTGGGTGAAAGAACATGGGCATTGCAAAATCTGGCTATATACGTCTAAGTCTAAGTCTAGAGTCTAGAGTCTAAAGGCATTAGTGTTGGTCGAAGACTCCTGATAGATTGGCCGGTCCCAGAAGTAGATCAGTCACAACACGCATGGCCGACGTCAGTAGCCATTTTAGCCAAAGATTTGGATAGCATGCAGGATGGCCCCATCTGGCAAGCAGGCCATAGACGAATCTCCCTCAACAGAAAACACAACGGAACATAGCATAGCAGACTTAGCAGACCTAAGAAAACAAACCTGGTGGCCGTCTACAGGGGCCACCTGAAATTAGCCGTGAAAGAAGCGTGACCAGCGCGCCTGTTGCAAGTGCTTTTCACCAATGTCGGCCCTGGGGGCCTCGCCATCCTTGTGGATGAGAAACGGGTGAATGAACTCTTACAACAGAAGAGCGGGATCAAGGCGAGGGGTCAATGTACCTGTTGATCACATGTCTGTGTATAGATGGCATCATGACAAGAACCGTCTTGAGGTGGTAAACAAACCTGACTTCTCCATAGCTTGGTGTCATCTTCATCTGAGGATATCTGAAACTACAGTCTTGGCATTTGTTGTCACCCCTTGGTTGAGCCATTTCGACGATTCGAAGGTGTGAGGTCCTCCGCTCGGGGAAATCACACCTGGTCTGCCCCATCGCCCTGCTCGGTGAAACGCCGATGTTGGACCACGCGCTCGTGCATGTTCACCACGTGTTTTTCCCGATCAACTCTTCCTGGAAAACACATGGCTTTTGGATGGCACCTGGGACCCCAAGTTGCGGATTGACCAGTACTTGGTCACCAACATGTAGAACACTCACACCTCTTGAAGTGGGAATTTCCACCTTTCGGGATAAAGAACAGCTCCCCAGTCCAAATGGGTGTATCTTCTTTTCACCGCACCAACCCCCTTTTGGCGCCGCATGCACCAACCGCATCCTTTCGTTGGCGGAGCAGCGGGTCGCGCGTTTGCTTTCCGCTCGTCGCAAGACACGCGTCGTGTGTTGAGAGCGATAGATCCATGTCGTCGTCGTTGTCCCGGTCAGCTTTCAACACGATTCTTTTTGTCTGCTTCCTTCTGCTCTTCACCTCCTTAGCCCTCAGCGAGCCGCGTGACAAGATGCGAGCCTTCGAAGGCTTCCTGCGGAAGCGCTTCGATGAAGCCTCATCCATTCGACTGAACAGCGTTCATTCAGTGGATAGCTTCTGGAGGTATTTCAACGAATCCTTCCAGGCGGCCATCTATGGTACAGATACGGCCAGATATTACTTTCCCGGAGCGGTGGTTCCCACCTGGCTTCAGGTGCTGGGGCCCAACTACCTCTATGGCATGGGACGGATGCGCGAATGTACAGCCCGACTCGGGGTGCCAGGCGGACCACCGTTGCACCCGTTTGGACGACCGGTGGAGGGGGACGTGAGTCCCAGGGACCCGAAGGGACCCGATTCGGGTTCGGGACACGCGGGATTGACCGGTGGACGAGGGCACCGGTCGACTTCGTGATTGAAGAGCAACCTCCCCATTTGGAGTGAAACACCCGAAGTGAATCCTTTGAATCTATGGGGTTTTGTTAATCAACTGGTCCGCCAGCACGTTTTTGGGCGGGACCCGAACGGTAGCACCAGGCCAAAACGAGGCCCAAAACAGGTGACACGCTGGTGACACGGAGGTGACGGAAGCTGTTTCAGGGCGTCAAAGAACGGTAGAAGCTCAGGAACTGGTTTTTGGCCTCTAAAGAGAGATCATGTGACGTATTGACCATATCATAATATCTAGTATACTTTTCTCTGGTTTGGAAAAGCGCCAACGCTTTTAAAGAGTATAGAAAGACATGGAAAGACGATGGTAACTGGTAACTGACTCGTTTTTATCGAGAACATCCGAAAAACATGCTTGTTGGACTCCTACGTTGAACAGAAAACACAGCCGGACGTTTGTTGCTCCCTCAGGTGGCGCAGCAATACCGGAGCTAGTTTCCCACGTGCTACGGCGCCTTCGACCTTGATGCGATGGATCGTGAGTGCTTTGGGCCTCCCAACGAAGAGGGGGTTCCAAGCTATGATTTCTCCCGTGAGACGCTTGGGTTTGCTTAGTTTACTTTGTCTTTTTGTTTCTATGTATATAATCACTCACTTTGGTGAATTTGGGGTTCTCATGCTCCCAAAAGCAAATCCGAGGTTGAGTACAGAGAGATATGAAGGCTACCTAGCCACTTATCCCTTTAGAGGCTATATGGAGATGTTTACTCCAGACTACCCGACCACGCACAACAAATTCCTGCAGATGCAAAATGATGGCTTCATCAGTGAGAAGACTCGCGCGATCTTTTTGGAATTCACCATCTACAATTTCAACCTGGGCCTTTATGGAGTGAATCGGATTGTATTTGAGGTTGCAGCTGCTGGTGATTGGACACAAAGCTATGAAATTGATGTCCCTTTACAGAGGCACTTGCAGCCCTTGGGCACAGGAACAGCCGAGGATTGGCTCATTTTGATTTTCGAGGCAGGCTTAGTGCTCTTCGTGCTGCGCTATGTCTTGGAGGAAGCATCCGAATTCGTGGGCGTGGAGTC